CTCCGAATTCCCTCTTTGCAGGAGATAGAGACACTCGAAAGTAGCCCGAACAATAAGAAATACCAAAAATGGAAAAGCAGCTGATGGCATTCTTTCGAGGGCTGCTCACAAGCAAGCTGATGTCAGTTTTGACCTCCTATCATACGCCAGTGCCAATCTACCATCGAAACGAATGAACAAATCATACAGGACAGTCCTTGGCGGTGTTTAACCTTCCTCCTATCAAACGGCAAAAAATAAAAAAATAAAAATGGCGAGCGAACCTGGTAGCCAATTTTCATGATCACATTGTAGACCTCCGGAGGCAGTCCTGCTTCCTCCCAGTTTCGGAGTGGTTTCGGCACTCGACCACCTTTGATTGAGATATTGAAGTCTTCACGGAATATACGCCAATCACGTTCGGTCATTTGCTCCAGAGATTTCTGGGTCCAGTGTCTGTTATCAAATGCTTCTTTCTTCTCCTTCTTCTTCACACCAGCCAATCTGAAGAGGATGGCATTAAAAAATCGTATTCATCCGGGAAATGATCAGCCCACTGTCTGTTGCCTGCTCCAAGGGATGGATGGGAGACATTTCAGTAGCACCACTGATACCCACACTGATATCCCAGAGGGAATTTGGAAAAAACTGGAAGAAACTTGGAAGTCGTGAGTTTTTTATATCGTATGATCCTCCTTCTCGAACAAAACGTCAAGATGCACTTGCATCGTAACTACAGCGAAATTCATAAGCATAAAAGTGCTCGGTGTATTCAAGTCACGAAAAGTTTCTCAATAGTACTGCCGCGTAATTATCCCTGGATATAGCTGTGCTAAGAGCCCTTTCTGATCTGGGAGGATATCATTGCTCTTTAGTATGTTAAAGATTGAAAAAAGTATTACCGTAGCTCCTCCTGATGTTTTTCTTCCTTCGTTCGGCGTTTTTCCATCAAATTTGCGTAAAACTCGGATTTTTGTTTCTTCTGTGCATTTACATCCATGCCAGCGATCGAACCACGACCAAAAAACTGCACTTCATGTTTCTGTAGTAATGCAAATATTAAAATTTTCTACTAAAATTGTATTGTTTGTTCATACTTCCTAATAAAATTTGCTCATTCTCTATCTCAGTTCTATTTTCTATTAAAAGTTTTATTCATTCACATTGATTAATATCACCAGTGATGAAATGAATGGTGTTAGAATACATACAG